GGATGGGAGTGGGGGTAAGGGAGGTGGGTGGTGGGTGGGGTGAGATGGTACGGGTTAGGAAAGGTTGAAAAAGAGTTTTGAAAAATATTTTCCCTTCTTTTGATAGAGAAAACATTTTCCTCCAATTGGAGAAAAACGAATTCATAAAGTAAATGTTTTTCAAATATTTAAACAAATCAAACGTGCGAAAATTAGAAAAATATTTTCTAGAACATGAGTCAACGTAAAACTATAACATTGAGCATTTCCATTGGTCAAGGTTGGACATCATCGTGGGTCCGTTTGAGCTGATGATTTTTTATGGGTTAATTTGGCCTAGCCCAAAACAGTCCATTTTCAAAAACGTTCTAGCCCAAACCCATTAAAACTTGCGCGGGTCAAATGAGTTTGGCCTAGTTTTCCTAATTTATCCCCACTCTTGTAAGCAAATGTCTCTTAATTCTAACGAAGCTTCAATCTAAAGATAGTGAAGTTAATTTCAATTCATAAGTAGAGGGATGAATTTGGTACAAGATCCTCTTCCTTTCCTTTTCTTTCGAATTCTCCTCAATTTACTTTGTCGTCATTATTTCACCGATTTTGAACAAACACCTATTCTATAATGTGTAAAGTCTCTGCCTCAACTGCCATGAGGTCATTCTTTTGCTGAAAAAAGTGACTATGATTGTTGCTACGAAGTTCGGTTAATACTTAAGAATCTCCTTTAACTTTGTTTCTTTAAATATTCAACATAACTAAGCATAGAGTTAGTTGATACTTGATACCTGTCCAATATACAAATTCAATCACAAATAGTCCTTTCGAACTTTATTTGACTGTGGTTCTCTTATTGTTAAAATTTAGAGTCTGTGTGCCTGGCACTTATTGAGGATTTTAGGGATGTAAATTGAACACCCCTGTGATTCTCATTTAATTGTTTTTGTTCCCAATTTAATCTACTTAAGATTACACCTTAAATGGTACTCCCTTGTTGTGTATGGTGCTTTTGTTTGTTGTTGAATTTTGGTATACTTAAAAGCACGTAATTATTTGTTTCTTGAAACTATTGGTGTGTATTTAACCAATTGGAAATGAAGCAGGGAGCTGCTGGGCGTTCTCAGCAATTGCTACCGTTGAAGCAGTCAACAAGATTGTGACTGGTGATCTGATCTCACTTTCTGAGCAGGAGTTGGTCGATTGTGATACTATCCATGACTCAGGCTGTAATGGGGGCCTAATGGACTATGCTTTTGATTTCATAATCAACAATGGAGGAATCGACACTGAGGAAGACTACCCTTACAAAGCCATGGGCGGGAGATGCGACCAAAATAGGGTCAGTTTCACTCTTGTTCAACACTCTTCTTATAGATCAACTAAACACTGCCAATGCAATTAAAGATTTATTAGTCGTTGATTAATTTGTATCATGCAGAAAAATGCTAAGGTTGTGACAATTGATGGGTATGAAGATGTTCCCGCTTATGATGAAAAGGCCCTACAAAAGGCTGTTGCAAATCAACCCATCAGTGTTGCCATCGAAGCAGGTGGCAAGGACTTTCAACACTACACCTCGGTAATACTCTTTTGCTTTGCGTTTGCCTCTTGATTTTATTTAATTGAAAGAAATGCATATGAGCGGATTAGGACCGGCTTATTCATATTGTCGACTACTACCTTAACTTGATTGGAATTTTAGGTATTATTGTATAGAAATACATATGAACGTGTCAAATCTGCAATCATTCAGTCAGCCAGGACAACAAAACATGTTACATTATATTGTCTCTCCAATTGGAAACTAGGAAATATGTTACATGACTTGCTATGTTGTATCTTGAAATATCTGCAGGGTATCTTTACTGGAAAATGTGGAACCGCAGTGGACCATGGAGTAGTTGCTGTTGGATATGGTAGCGAAAATGGTAAGGATTATTGGATTGTTAGGAACTCATGGGGTGCTTCTTGGGGAGAAAAGGGATACCTCAGGATGCAGCGTAACGTTGCCAGTTCTAGTGGCCTGTGTGGAATTGCTATAGAGCCTTCTTACCCTATAAAGACGGGCCAAAATCCCCCAACCCTGGCCCTTCTCCTCCATCTCCAGTGAAGCCGCCCAATACTTGTGATGAATACTATCAATGCCCAGAGAGCACCACCTGCTGCTGCGTCTTAGAGTTCTCTAACTACTGTTATGCTTGGGGATGCTGCCCCTATGAAGGAGCCGTTTGCTGTAAAGACCACAACAGTTGCTGTCCACATGACTATCCCGTCTGCAATGTTAGAGCCGGCACCTGCTCAATTGTAAGTGACACCTGTTTGTCATACCTTAATAATAGACTAAGATTGGTTTAAAGTAGGAAATAATACAAACTGCATTCTGCATTCTTCTTTCTTGGTTGATACAGAGCAAGGACAATCCATTGGGAGTGGAGGCAATGAAGCACATTCTTGCCAAACCCATAGGGGCCTTCAAGAAGAGCATTTCTTGAATTCTCTTAAGTTCCAAGGCTGTGGGACGAGGAGGTGGCAAAAGCGGCCAATGGAAATGAATTGTAGACGATCTCACTGCTATATTGTTTTGAAGACCTCTCATTCCCAGCTAAAGTAATTGAAAGAAATCCATAATCAAGGATTACAAAGATCCTTATGATGATTTGTAAATAGTGCTTCTTTATGGTTTCCGCTGTATTAGAACCAAGATTAAAAGGAGATATTAATTTTCCTCTTTGGCTACTTATGTATCTAGTGTATTTCTCAGCATTGATGACTAAAGTTCTGCTTTTGTGGCACACTTTATTGTTCATCTGCTGCTTGTACGCCGTGTTTTTAAAGGATGACTAACCTGCAATTTGAACTTTGAACTTACTACTATGAAGGAGAATGAAGTTTTCTTTGTATTTGTAAAAAAAAAAAAATTGTTGAATATTGGTTGCTTTTGGGAGATATTAGCAGACTAGCGGAAAATATAAAGAATTGGAAAAACCATTAATTAGGGCTTCAATCAATAAAAAAAGTTTTAACATTTAAATTTAATACATTTCAGTTGCTTTTTAAAACTTTTGAGTAATACAAGCTGACTTTTGATAATTTGGGTATTATATGAAAGAAGTATTCAACAAATTTTATTTTAATTTGAAAAAGTTTTTAGGGCTTGCACCTCACTACAAAAATGCGCCTCAAACGCCTGGACGTACGCCCCGAATTGCTGGGCGAATGCCTTTTGAGACTTTCGCCCCAGACCATCGTCTTGGGGCATTGTTGGTACGCCTCACCCAAGGGCACGCCCCGAAAACGCCTTTTAAAACACTACTTGTATGTAGTGCAATAATAACAAAGACTATTTATTCGAATTCCAGTAGATTGGAATTCAAAAAATATTTTAGAGCTTGTTTGGAAAGCCACCTAGGAATTGAATTTGGGGGTAATTGGATGTAGTTACACAGTTTGGCATGTTTGTCTAGCTAAGTAATTACTTGATCAGTATGGAATTAGGTGCAATTGGAAGGTGTAATTAAACTCTCCAATTCTCAAGTGCGAGGTGAGAATTGGTGGTAGTTACAAGGTTACTTTTTATTTTCTTTCTTTTTTGTTTTCATTTTAATTTATTTTCTTTATAACTTTTTATTTCCATTATTTTAATTTTTTGTAACGACCCGACCGGTCGTTTTTGAGAATTATTGTCCCGTTCGGCGGCATAAGATCTCGAATAGCTTCGTATTATGTGTTATGACTTGCGTGTGTGGTCGAATTCGATTTTCGGATGATTCGGGGAAATTTGGAGGAAGGATTATTGTTTCAGAAGCGTAAGTGGTAAGAGTTGATCGAAATTTGACTTTTGTGTAGACGACTCCGAAATGCCGTTTTGATGATTCCAATAGCTTTGTATGGTGATTTTGGACTTAGGCGTGCGTCCGGATTTGGATTCGGAGGTCCGTAGGGTAATTTGAAGCATTTCGGTGAAAATTGGAAAGTTGAAGTTTTGGAAGGTTGAGAGGTTTGACCGAGAGCTGACTTTGATGATATCGGGGTCAGAATGAGATTCCGAGAGTTGGATTAGCTCCGTTATATCATTTGGGACTTGCATGCAAAATTTGACGTCATTCCGGATTGATTTGGTATGTTTCGGCACGAGTTATGGAAGTTGGAAGATTTGAAAGTTCATAAGTTCGATTCGTGGTGCGATTCGTTGTTTGATATGATTTGAGACTTCGGGTGGGTCCGTATTAGGTTATGGAACTTGTTGGTATATTCGGACGGGGTCCCGAGGGACTCGGATGTGTTTCGGATGGGCTACGGGCCATTTCTGCAGGTTTTGAGTTGCTGGTTTCTGGTGTCTGATGACCTTTTTCGCGATCGGGTAGAGTCAGCCGCGATCGCGTAGTGTATTGTTGACTTGCCATATTTTTCTTCTTCGCGTTTGCATGGTCAAGACCGCGATCGCGAATGTTGAGGTTGTGGTAAAAAGTGTTCGCACCCTTTTGTCTGCGATCGTGTAGAGCTTTTCTTTTAGGCAGTGATATTTCACCTTTGCGATCGCATCCCTTTGTTCGCGATCGCGTAGTATTTTCCTGGGCAGCAGAATATATTTCGAAAATCGTGGGTTTTGCCCACTTTTCATATTTGAGTTGTAGACCTCGGTCTTGGGAGATTTTTCATGGGTTTTACAAGCAACTCATTGGGGTAAGTGTTCTCTACTCGAACCTTATTATATTTTATGAATCCTTTGCTATTTTCATCATTTAATTAGTGAATTAAGTTTGAAATAAAGGGAAATTAATAAAAATCTTTAAAATGTAAAATGATGATTTGAAGGACGAATTGATGTCGGAAATTACTGTGGTATGGTTGAACTCGTTTCGAAATGGGTGTTTGGGTTTTGTGAATTTTATCGGGTTCCGAGGTGCGGCCCAGGGTTTGACTTTTGGTTTGACTTTTTAGTTTGTGTTAAAAATTGAAGCTTTATTATCCGGGATGGTTTCTTATGAGTTTTATTTATGATTTGAAGTTATTTTGGCTAGATTTGAGCCGTCTGGAGGTTGTTTCACTCGAAAAGATCATTTTAGAATAACAGTCTAGCTTCTGTAAGGTAAGTATCTTGCCTAACTTTGTGTGTGGGAACTACCCCTAGGATTTGAGTCTTTGGTGCTAAATTTGAGTTTTGGTGCTAATTGTGTCATGTGAAGTCCGTGTATGTGAGGTGACGAGTACGTGCTCGGGCTTATTTGTGAAAATTTGACCGTTTAGGTCTCTTAGGTTCTTATGTTCATTAGATATGAAGTTGTTCCATCATGTTAAATCCCCTATTTACTAGTTTTACCTCTACGTGTCTTTAATTGGAATTAATTACTTCATGTTCCACCCTTATTGCTGATTAAACTCTTATGTGCTTAAATGAAGTTGTTACCTCATTTATTACCATGATATCCTTCCCTAGTTGCTTATCCTCAATTGAAGTTATTATTATCTTTCCCATAATTTGCTTATCCTTAATTGAATTTGCTGTTTCTTTTCCGTAGTTGCTCAACACTAAATGAAGATTTGTTATCCCTTATCTTTGTTAACTTATCCTTAACTGAAATTATTGATTCATGTTATCCCTCTTACCGCTGAATTGTACTTGGTGAAATCATTGCTACACTTATCTCTTCCTTGTTGAGTTATTACTATGTTATACCATTATTTCCTATTGTGTCTTTCTTTGTGAGCTCGTTCTTCCGTTTTCCTTGTATTAGAAGTTACTGAGTTGATTTACTTGCCATATTCTCGTGTCGTTGTCGATGTTGCTGTTGTATTCAGTGTTGTTGAGCCGAGGGCTATGTGTGGTTGTGATATTGAAACTGTTTTGAGGAAATATTGTGGCATGTGTTCGCATATTGTGAAAGTCATTTGTTTGAGTTGTTATGTTTGTCACACTTGTTGTTGTCTAAAGAATTGTTATGTTGTTGCACGAGGTTTCTGCTGTGCGGTTATTATTGTGTTGCACGAGGTTACTGCCGTGCAGTTGTTATTTTGGTTGCACGAGGTTTCTGTCGTGCGGTTGCTATTGTGTTGCACAAGGTTTCTGCCATGCTGTTGTTATTGATACGCATGCGATGGTATAAGGTATGGGTGTTGAAACGTATGCGGTGAGATAAGGTGGGCTTGAAACACGTGGCTAGTACGGGAACTACTAGAAGCCATGCAATGTGATAAGGTGGGCTAAAACGCGGGATGCTATTTTGGAAAAATGATTTTCAAGACTAAATGTAAAGTCTTGCGGTGATATAAGGGAAGTTGTGATTCATTTTACTATTTGAGATTACGAGGCGGTACCTCGGGAGGGCTTTGTTGTCATTTCCCCTTTTCTGTGCACTTGTCTTTGATTGTTGTTTTCCGTAGCATACTACTAATTATTTTCCTCCGTGTTGCTCTATTTACTCAGTTCTATGTAGCTAACCTCGTTGTGCTTGTCGTAATGCCCACTTCATTGTTGTCTTACTTATACTGTATATTTCGTGGTGATCATTTTTTATGTGCCATTCATTGTCTTTACTCTTGTTTGTTGACTTGGATTGTGGTAGAACACTTGCACAGGCAGACACGTAGATTAATCACCGATATTAGTTTAAGAAGATGAATCCTGATGTTATTGACAATTACATGTATTATTGTCTACTTTCCTTCTGCGTGAGAGTTGTTCTCTCGGCACGTGAGTCGTTTGAGCGGTTATGAATTGAAATGTGGGCACAAGATGCTAAGTGATTAGGGTTCAAGAATTGTGACCCGTGAGCTGTGATTATGAGGTTCGGTACCTCATGGAAATGCTTGAACAGATAAGGTATGAAAGCGGTTGTTCTTATTAAGTTGTTGCCGGTTTTTCCTTTATTTGATTTCACGGACTTAGACTGTGTTAAACTTACTCTACAACGTTATTACTTGACTGCTTCTTGTTAGATATTGTTGTTACTAGTGTATCATTGTAAGTATTGTTTTGTATTTCCTTATCTTGCTTAGCCTTATATTAATATTGTTCCTTCACCTTCACACTTGTTCAGGTTGTTTAGTCTAGTAGGTGTCTTGACTGTTCCTCGTCACTACTACACCGAGGTTAGTCTTGATACTTACTGGGTACCACCGTGGTGTACTCATACTACGCTTCTGCATATTTTTGTGCAGATCCAGGTGCCACGATTGTTGTTGATTATTAGCTGGCTGGTCGAGCACTACTGTGGAGACTCAAGGTAAACCTGCCGCGCGTTCGCAGGCTTCGGAGTCACCCTCTAATTTGTATTTGTGCTATTTAATTTTCATTCCGAACAGTTGTATTTAGGGATTCTCCTAGTAAACTCAAACTTATGACTTGTACTACCGGTTTTGGGAATTGTAAGTTTTGTATAAAGGTTTCTATTTCATATTTAGTAGTTAATGGTTAAATTCTTCTAATAATTCAGCAAGTGTTAGGCTTACCTAGTCTTAGAGACTAGGTGCCGTCACGACATCCTATGGAGGGAAATTGGGTTGTGACAAGTTGGTATCAGAGCTCTAGGTTCATAGGTGCTATGAGTCATAAGCGAGTTTAGTAAAGTCTTGCAGATCGGTACGGAGAAGTCTGTACTTATCTTCGAGAGGCTGCAGAACAATTTGGACCATTTCACTTTCCTTCATTCCTATCGTGCAAGTTTATTGATCTCAGAGTTTGAACCTTTGTCATTCTATTCTCTCACAAATTGTGAGGACACGAGTTGCAACTACCGACGGCGCTACCCAGAGCTGGTATTGCTAGGGGCCGGAGCAGAGGTAGAAGAGGAGCACGTGATATAACTAGAGCACCTGTCAGAGCAGTCGTTGAGGAGTCGCCAGTAGCTCCGGTCGGGGGACAGGTACTGGAGGTG